CCAGCGCGTCTGCTTCTGCATTTTCTTCCCTCGGTATGTGGGTAATTGACCATTCCCTGAATCGTGCGAGCAGAGTCTGGACTTTCGCTACATATTGTTGCATGCGTTCCTCTTTGGTGTCGAGGATCCCGTATACCTTATTTACTACCAGTTGGGAATCGCATTTGATTTCTATGACCTCGGAGCCCAATCCTCGGGCCAGCTCAAGTCTTGCAATCAAAGCCTCATACTCGGCTTCATTGTTAGTGAAGGGAACAGTTCTAATAGCCTGCCTCAGGGTTTCTCCTGAGGGCATAATTAGTACTACCCCGAGCCTGGACCTTTTCACGTTGGAAGCTTCGTCCGTGAATAAGGTCCAGACTCCCGATGTTGTTTCCGACACCATCACCGCTTCTTTGGTGGCCAAAGGCAGCAATTCGGGACTGAAAACGGCCACGAAGTCAGCCCAAAACTTGTAATTTGATCGCAGTCCTGGGTTTATACTCTATGTCAAATTCACTCATTTCGACTACCCATTTGGCCAGTCGACCTGAAAGTTCAGGTTTTGTGAAGGATATTTCGCAGGGGAAAGTTTGTCACCACGGCTATCGGGTGGCATTAAAAATAAGGCCTAAGCTTTCGAGCGGCGACTACGAGAGCTAAGGCCATTTTTTGGAGGTATGGTAGCGAGTTTCCGCTCAAGTTAAAATTTTACTAACATAATAGATAGGAGATTGCGTACCTTCGTCTTCACGGACTAAAATGGCACTTACCGCTACCTCTGAGACCGCTAAGTAAATCAACAATTGTTCACCTTCCTCCGGTTTCGATAGTAACGGAGGCTCGATAAATACCTTTTCAAATCTTTCAAGGCCTGCTGGAATTCTAGAGTCCATTTGAAGTTGTTCTTCGTTTTTATAAGTGAGAAGAAGTTCTGAAGACCGGGAAATGAAGCTTCTTAAAGCGGCCAGTCTTCCCGTTAATCGCTGAACCTCTTTCACATTTGATAGCTGGTCGGGAATGTCCTCAATGGCTTTAATTTTATCGAGGTTAACTTCGATCCCCCTTTGTGACACCAGGAAACCCAAGAACTTACCGGAGCTTATTTCGAATGCACACTTTTCGGGGTTAAGCTTTATGTTGTGCTTCCTTAGGATGTCAAAGGTTTCTTGGAGGTGTTTAAGATGATCACCTGCGTTCAAAGACTTAAACAGCATATCATCTATGCAAACTTCCATTGTTTTCCCTACCTACATTAGCTAGCTAGTTAGGATACTTTACCTCCCAGATTGAACCGATATCAAGCAATCGAGTTACCTCTTCTTTAACAAACATGTTTCTGACCTCGGCAATAGGGCGTTTCTTCTGCCTTATCGGAGGGATGTTGCGATCCAAGCTTAACTTGTGCACGACCACCTCTAGCGGGATATCTTTCATATCTGCATGCGACCACGCAAAATATTCAACATTAAATTTAAGAAATTCTATAAATCCTACCTGATCTCGGGGTTTAGTCATGTCCCCAGGTGGAATTTTCTCTCCATAAACTTCTCGAATAATGTGACTTGATCGAGTTCTTCCGCTGTGGATTTAGTTGCGTCCATTTCTTCTGGTAGCTGGAAATACCTTGGTACCTGATATGATTCCGACAGCTCCCCCCTTTGTCGACTTTGTTTGGCTCAGGAGCAGGCGTCGGTTCCTGTAATTGCTATGCCGCATGTTCTTTCCCTTTACTATTGAAAAACGATATCGCGTTCATCTCCCTTGCCACGGTTGATCTCCTCTGATTTTGTTAATTCTCTATGGAGTTGGGAATTTTAGAAGTTGATGGTATGTTGATGGCACAACCTTCATCTCGTGCAGCCATGGTCTTCCAAGAATAATGTTGTAGCCCATGTTGCCGTCTAATACTTTAAACAGGGTCGTCTTCATGATCCCTTCGGCGTTCATGGGCAGCAAAATCTCCCCTCGGGTTATTACACTTGCTAAGTTGAACCCGGCGATGAGCTTTATGGGCGGAATGATGCTTCTGGTTAGCTTGGCTTGTTCCAGCACTCTCCATTGGATAATATTGGCTGAACTCCCTGGTCCACCAAAACACTTATAATTTTGAAATCTAAAACATTAAGAGGAATTACCAGGGAATCGTTGTGCAGTAGTAGGAGTCCATCATCGTCTTCTTCCGTGAAGGTGATATCGTCCTGGGCGACTTCCCGAAGTCTTTTGCTATTGGTCACCGATACCTTTGTCTTTTTTGCTGCTAAGAAGGTTATACCATTAATCTCGTTCCCTCCGAAAATCATATGGATCGTTAGACGAAGAGGATCTTCTCCTGTTTTCGAGGGCTTCGGGTTATCCCAATTGCGGCCTTAGTTATTTTTAGTCTGGTCGCATAAAATTCTCTAAGATGGTCATTTTCAGCAATGTCGCCACCTCCTGGCGCAAATGTCTGCAATCCCAAGTCAGGTAGCCGTTAGTCCCATGATAGTCACACCATATATTAGGATCTCTCTGACTGGGATCAGATCTCATCGTCCTCGAGAACCGTTCTTCCTTAATGTTCCTCATCGCCAATACCAATTCCACCATGCTGAAATTAAAATTGTACTCAGACAGCCTGGGGTAGGTGGAGTCCCGGGAACTTGACGCCTCTTTGTCCTGCAACGATCTGTTATTCCGGCCACGATCGACTCTCTTATCGATAGCGAACCTGTCCGCAGACCGGAAACCTCTGTCGCGTCCTTTGGCCCTTTCGTAGGGCAAAAACTAGCCTTTAGAAGGCTGTCGGTTTGTGTCGAATTCATCCTTTAACTTTTCCTTATTCTTCTCTTGGTCCCGACCCTTGGTTGATGCCGGGAAACCGAGCCGGTCATCCTTTATTCGTATCTTTGATTCGTAGTGGTTATGGACATCTGCCCATGTTGTTGCTTGGAACTGAGCAGACTTTCTTTCAGTTTCCGAGAAGTGTCAGAGCTCCTTGGGTTCAGTCCTTTAGTAAATGCTTCGCTGCCCATTCGTCTGGCACGACCGATAAAAATATCCTTTACTTCTGAAATTTGGTCACGAACTCTCGCAGCAGTTCAAACTCTCCTTGCGCAATTCTGAATATGGCGACCTTTTGGGCCTGCACCTTCCTGGACCCGGCATGGGCTTTGATAAAAGAATCCGCGATCATCTCGAAGGAATCTATTGGGTGCTCAGGTTAAGTGAATACTATGTCAGGGCCCCCTTCGTGAGGGTCTCCCCGAACTTCTTCAGCAAGACTGACTCAATCTCGTGCAGAGCTAAGTCATTTTCTTTCACCGCCGCTGTGTAGGTGGTGATGTGATCCTGAGGATCCGAAGTCCTATATATTTTGGCACGTCTGACATTTTGAATCGCTTCTGGATTAACTCCGGTCCACACTTGGTTTGAATGTCAACTGATTGTATTTCTTTGAGTCTAGTCCTTTCAACACTGGCGGTGCGCCAGTGATTTGGTCCATTCATGCATTTTCCCTCATAAACTGCATGAGTTCGGTTTTAAGGCGATCATTCCCGTTATTGTTACCAGATTCACTGCCAGTTCACCTAGCCCCGTCGAAGCCGACCTTACCCCTCAGGGTATTGTTATAAACCCTTTGTGCTGTTTGGTTTTGCGGGAGAATAGAGAGGAACTGGACCTCTTCCATCCGTGTTGTAGGAAGCACCCGACAACGCTTGACCTGATCATGTCGCGAGAGATGACCCATAATAGCCTTTTGTTGTTCCCTCAGGATTCTCGCCGTTTCCGCAACGTGCTCGTCTTCAGCATCATCAGGAGTTGCCTCTCAAGCGTGTCGTGGATATTTCCCGCCGTGGACCGGCGTGGCTACACCCTCCTTGGTGCGGTATCACTGATCAAATCTTCGTATTGAGGCTGATTTCCTTGGGCCCCAACATTGTGTGTGATGTTGACATCATTATCTGCCATTTTGTATGATTTTTCTCTAAGAATAAAAGAATTAAACAGGCTAGTAACAGATGCAAGGATCAACTCAATTACGCAATTGTTTAAGCCACGGTGGGCGCCAAACTGTTTACCCGTAAAACGGTACAGTTGAATTTGTAACGTGGTTTATAGACAAGCGAATCGATTTGATCTCAAAATGATAAATAAATTAAATAAAATGCAAAACTTAACATTAAAATCGAGATAAGACAACAAATAGCTTGGTTCCGGGAGCAAAGCTTCCAAAGTCAGTAATAAGATTATAAATGGGCATGAAATAAAATATTATTGAGCTTTTGACTAGTATGTAGTATAAGTTTGTCAGAAAATTCGTGTCCTTTATAATGGTTATTAAAGTCACTATTTACAGCTACACCTAAGGAACAAGGTCCTAGGATCAAGCCCCTCTTAAATGATAATTATGATGCCATTGATGAATATGTAACGTCAGACTGTTAATACATAATTAAACTTTCAGATAGCTAATCAACCGAGCTACAAAAATTTCTAAAAACTTCTTACTGCTACTAATAGTTTTCCAAAAAAAAAATGCAACAGGGACACAACACCTACAATGGGACAAACGACAACAACTAGCAGCTCACTCTAGCGATCAGGGGCGGATTTACGCTTACCGAAACGGTGTCACGCGACACCGCTTCGTCGAAATTTTTTACTAAATATATGTATATATACTGTACGGAAACAGATAAGTAGGAAAAAATAACACCAATTGACATAGTTTGTGTCTTGGTGAATCGGTAACGTGCTTGATTTTTCTCTAAGAGGTCTCTAACCTCAACTAGCACATTTTTCTTTTGCAAATACTCAGGACCTTTTGTAAGTTAAAACTCAACAAAATCAATAGACTAAGGTTATTTCTTGTCTAAAGGTATGATAATCAAAGTTATATTTCAATTCTTTTATAAATTTCGACATCGCTTATAAAAATTTCTGCATACGCCCCTGCTAGCGATAATGCACTGAATAGCACTACTAGCTTTAGAGGCAGTACCTTTTGTATTGCTGAAACAAATTTAAACTATAACCTAGATGCAACAGCATCACCCCTCTGTAGCAACTTTTATGATTAATGCAATTATCTTTCGGAACAAAAAAAAAAAAAAGTAACTAACCAAAAGAAAAAGAAAAAGTTGCAAAAAGTACAAACGAAAGAAAAAGGAAAGAAAAACCATTGGGAAATTTCGTAACCCTTTGAAAAACCCAGTGAAAGTAATTGTTTCCCAACGTTCTTCATCATCATCACAGAGTTAGTCAGTTAGTAGCAAATGGAGAAAGGGAAAAGCAACAAATCATCATCTTCAACTGCCATGACTCTCGACCAGTTCGTTTCCACTATGGCCCCTTTACTGGATTTGGAAAAGGTACTCACCTACACACTTTTTTCTCCAATTCCCCACGTTTTGCCCATTTTTCTGATTACGGGTTGTTTTTTTTTTTAAATTTATTTTTTAATTATTATTATTAGAAATGTATATCACTCCAGTATATGAAAGAGGTGAATAATGTGTTTGTAGTTATTAGGATAATCTTTATCCTATTATTCTAATACTCCTTGTGTCCCCTATTAGCTATGCTTAAGACCTTTTTTGGTGTCAAAAGGTCTGAATCTGACTATCAATTTTGTTATCCTACTTTAGTAAATGTGGAGAATTAATGTGGAATTTCATCTGAAATGTGGAAACCTAAAGTGGCAAATATTGCCTATTGAGCTTTGGAAGCATAGCCCCGTCCCTACGCGGTATGAAAGAGAAGGGTTGTGGTAGGTTGATGGCCATCTTAAAACAGTCAGATTAATCTTCTCAATACTTAAATAAGTTGGGACGCCATTGACGGGCTTGAATTGAGAGGAATGCATAGAAATTATTCATACAGCCAACCCCAACTCATTTGGAATTGGGATGTGGTTGTTTTGTTGGTCAGACGCCTAAAGTCGGATAGAGGAAGTAGTTGTTATAGCTAGAAATGTTGTTCTTTATTTTTTCCTCAAAAATGCTGATATTGTGCTGTGTTACCTGAATGATCTTTTAAGGAAGCTGAAATATCACTTTCCATGAGCTCAGCTGAGACGAGGAGTTTGGATTCTGCTCGGAAGAAGGGCTCCACTATTCTTAATTTGAAGTGTGCTGATATCCAGGTAGTATATTTCTCTTTCCTTCTCCTTGCTTTTGCTATTTTGGATTCATTAAGTTAGTTAGATTTTGCTCGGTCTTCTCACTAGTTTTGCGTTTATGGACAGACAGGGTTAATGGGCAAGACGCTGATGGAGCTTCAATCAAACAAAGGGGATATTCTTCCGCCTCACAAGGTGAATTTAATGTGCTTAAGAGGAATGCTCTATGATGCTTTCAAGCTCTAGGCATTTTATTGCAATTATAAACGATATTTTCTTGGTCAGAGATCAATGCTGTCAAAAGGCGAAAAGCGTAAAATGTGGTACTGTCTGCTGGGCATCAAGCGCAAAGCCAAACTAAAGCACTTGTTTCAGTGAAGGAAAAAGTAGATGAGAAAAAATCAAGAATATTTGTTATTATAATCACAAACAACGATTACAGGACCAAGTATTGAAATATATGAAGTAAAAACCTTGTCAATCTCAAAGACCATCTTTAAGCTGCAACTGAATGAAATATATGAAATTAAGACCATGTCAATTAAATTAAAAAAACCAATTTAAATTTTAACTCAAATGCATAGATGTATTTTTAAGTTTCTAAATCAAATATTGACTAGTTTTTTAAAACTAACTTTTAGTTTTCTATTCATAATCTGTAACATATTCTTTTATTACATTTTATTAACAATAAATATATTGATTTTCCAGCTATGTTATCACTTAGTGCTGCCCTCGTCACAAAGCCTGTGACTGTTGAGTAATTGAGTTGCTTGTCATGAAATCTTGGTTCCTGCACTAAAATGCCGCCTAACAGAACCGAAGCGCACAACCTGCACTAAACTTAGCTTCAGGGTTTAAGTCTGCCTCTACTGAGCTCACAGCGATTGAGGAGACTAAATATTCAGAAAGACTATATTATCCCCTTCGTAACAGTGACTAATCGATCCTTGTCGTAACTAGGCCCCTTACTGTGTTTGCGTTTTGATGATATCATATTTTACTCTTTTGAACTGAAGTTTTAAGCTTCGCTTTCCCCTGCCCCTTCAGTTTTCTTTTAATCGGCAGTCACTATTTTTTCTGAAGATACTTCCTTCTCTTGCAGTTTGGCACTCATGACGTGGTTGTTCTGAAACCAAACAAAGCTGATTTAGGCTCCCCTGCACTTGGACAGGGGGTTGTCTACAGACTAAAGGTAATATAGCTGTAAAGCATTTACTGATATACAAATTGGAGAGAGAACCAACAAATGAAAAAGAAACGATGTGAAGTGAATATTATGTTGATTGAAATGGTAATAAAAAAGGATATTATGTTGATTGAGACCTAAGTCCAAAATACAGTTCTTTTTTTAATTTTCTATTTTTTAATGTTTGACTAAAGTGTAGGTTATTAGTAATGTTTTTAGGTTGGATCTTTAACAGTTTGTTTTCTCATGGAGCAGGACTCATCTATTACTGTTGCTTTTGATGATGTCCCAGAAGAGGGTCTAAATAATCCTTTACGCCTTGAGAAGTTGGCAAATGAGGTACATGATTCTTGATCTGAAAAGGGTGATGTTTATTGCCTAGGTATCTAGTACATTTAATAGAGCTGAATGAGTACCAACAGTCTTGATGTAACAAATAAAAGCATCTAAGCGCTGTTTCCCGTGTAGTTGATTAATACATAGGATACAATTTGATCTGACTTGAAGTTCTAAGGATCACCTATTTTTTAAGCAGTAATGTTTGACTTGAATATTTTTAAGGTAGTTTCTTCCCTAAGTCACAAGGTGGATTTTTACTATACCTTTCCGAAGGTATCAAAGTTAGTAGTTCTATGCATGCTATGTTGTAATTTTGATTGTTTGAAGTTCAGGAAAATTCACACTCAAAATTCTCTAAGTTGTACTTGTGGAGAAAAGATTATGTATGAAATTCTTAAGTTTGAAGAGTCTTTCTATTGGAGTTGCTTTTTGTAGGTGACCTACCGTCGGATGAAGGACACATTGATACAACTGAGTAAAGGTGTGCTGAAGGGCCCTGCCTCTGACTTAGTTCCTGTTCTTTTCGGGGAGAGACCACCAACAATGTCAAAGAAGGATGTCAATTTCACTCCTTTTAATCGCAACCTTGATCACTCTCAGGTTGTGAAGGCATCAATCATTTTAATTATTTTTTCTTAAACATGCCCCTGTTCCTACTTCATCTTTTTTTATCCTTCCGTTTTTTACGTGTTCTACTGGTGCATTCTTTAAAAACTAGTATAGGGATTTTTTTTTCCGGAAAGGCATAAAGAACCTTGCTTGTTATGTTTGACCGTGTGTATACCATCTTGACTTGTACCAGTCTGTAGAGAAGCCTCGACAATTGCAAGTATAAATAATTAATGCATAAAGTTTAATTATAGAAACCAAAGAGTTGTTGTTACTGTGTAAATCTGTACCATAGAGATGATTTAGGTACTGAAAGCAATGGTAATACTTGCGCTTTGAGAAATATGTTGGAGCAGACCGAGATGGCCATGTTAAATGCCTAACCTTTGCTTACTGAAGGCTAAATAGTGTTAGCTTCTAGCTTCTGGCAAATGGATGTTCAAATTGCTTGTTTTTCTACAATTTTCCATTTCTACTATGACTGCTTGTCAAATGTTTGACAGCCTCTTAAAGCAGTTCCACTCTAGGCACCTGGATGTTAAAACTATTGAGTTGCACATATTTTCAGCCATCAACACCTTTAATACCCGTTAGCCTATGTTACAGACTCTCCAAAATGCTAGTGCGCAGGTGTCGGATCCTCCAAAAATACACTGCTTTTGCAGGATCCGACATGCATCCGGCAACACTTTCGGAGAGTTCGATCAACAATTCAACATAGCTTTTAGCAATTGCTTTCTCATAAAATGATCAATATTTGAGAAGAATTTCATCTTAGAAGTTTGACGGTAGGGCTATAAGGATGAAAAAGTACATTACAGATAAAAAATGAAAAAGTAAATCATTTTAGTGAATCACTTCAATTGGCTCATCTTTATTTTCAAGTTTCATCTTGTATCCATAAAATTTTGGTAAATCCGCTTCCAATATTTCCTTCTTTATGTCTCTGATTTCAAAACATACTATTACAAATAAATGCTAGCTTTGTTAAGACAGAAGAAAATGGAAAAAAGGATCCATATAGGAAATATCAGCTAACTAGCTTTAATGCTTAGTTGTTTTTTATCGACCTCAACTAGTTGATTGACTTTAAAAAATGCAGCTACTTAGAGTACATTGCGTAACATTCTTCCGTGGTGTTCTTGTGTTTAACATGGAGTAAATGGGCACTAAGCAGTATCGATGATTGCTGATGTGTATGCTGGCTGCTATAAACTGATACCTTGTCTTTTATCTTTGAAGAAAGATGCCATCTCAAAGGCGCTTTCATCCAAGAACGTATTTTTGCTGCATGGGCCTCCTGGAACTGGGAAGACAACTACTGTTGTTGAGATTATTTTGCAGGAAGCGAAACGTGGTTCAAAGATTCTTGCTTGTGCTGCTTCAAATATTGCTGTTGATAACATTGTTGAGAGACTTGTTCCACACAGGTAAAGATATGTCTTGGGTGATTAACTTCTAGTTGACACCTTTCTCCTCAGGGTGAAACTATGATGTCCGTATTGGAATGAGCTTTTCCTGTGTAATTTTTTCTATCTTTTTTTCGATAACCGCCTAAAGTTCCAGTAAGACAGGTGATAATTTCCACTATCTCAGATACTCAACTTAAAATGGTCAGAAATGTTCTTTACCTTTCAGAATTTTGATTTAATTTAAATGGTGCCACTATTTTGTCCCTCTGACCAGAACATTTTATCTGTTCTTGGATGAGTTTATAAGTTGGGTGTTGCTCTGACTTGCACTCTGTTTTCCTGCCCACCTGTATTATTTGCTTCTATTTAAAATAAAGTGTAAACTGTAAGTTTGATGATGCAATTCTTACTAGTAGACACATGGTTACAGAATATTTTCTGCAGGGCTTTTATGCCCTAGCTCTGCGCTACACAAAATGATTATTTTTAATTATCAGATTTTTTGTGATGTTTATTTGAATTGTTAATCGGTTTAGTCTATCCATGTTTTGTCAGAGTGAAGTTGGTGAGATTGGGACATCCGGCACGTATGCTCCCACAAGTATTGGATAGCGCTCTTGATGCCCAGGTGATATTCCTTTTCATTTGGCAAGAATCTAGAATCATGAATGTTATCGGGTCACGCTGTTTTCTTGTATGGTGTCTGTTTCTTTTAGTGCATAGGAGCATAATTACACCTTCTTGCTTTCTAAGTGCACTCTAGTTAAAAATAGACTAGAGCACACTAGTTTCTTATAACCTTTGTTTGTTGGGAAGGATTCCCCGGGATAGGGCGGACTAGCA